GGTGAAGTGCCTGTTCATATCCTGTGCCCATTTTTCTATTGGATTATTTACCTTTATATTGTTGTGGTGCTCAAGTATTTCATAAATTCTGGATATAATTCCCTTATCTGATATCTTATTACTGAATACTTTTTCCCAGTCAGTGGCTTCCCTTTTTACCCTGTTGGAGAAGTTTTTGAATGTGCATAGGGATTTGAGTCTTAGAAGATCCCATTCATCTACGTTATCTTCTCCTGGTTGTAGGTTAAGGTATCTCATTTGTGATGGTTAATTATATGTATCAACTTCCCTAGCTGTTGACTCCCAGTTGTTTGGTCAAATACTAGTTTAGCTGTCCTTTTAGAGGAGTTTGTTGTTTTCAGGTTCCTGCCAGGCAGTTCTAACTTGTAGGAACATTTTGCACAAAAGAACAAAACACTGCTGTGTCTTGTGCCAAGGTTATAATTCTTAACTACATTTCAAGGCTATTGTTGTAGACATTGTGTCATGTGTATTACGTCCTCCAAGAAATAATAATATATCCTAATAACACACCTAACTTATGTAAGACAAAGTATCACCATCCTTCTAGGAACATTCTAACTGTAGATGTCACAAAACAGATTTGGTCCATTTTGTGGCTTTTCATGCTATATTCAATGTACTTCACCGACACTATAATTCAAAGACATAAGTCCTTCATTGGTCATCTTCATTCACTGTCCAGTGTTCACGTGTTCGCAAGCATATGAGGTGAGTGAAAACACCATGACTTGGGTCAGGTGAACCTTCATCCTCAAAGCAACTGCTTTTGAACATAGTGAAGAGGTGTTTTGTAGAAGATGTGCCCAATACGATAAGTCCTTTGATTTGTTCTTCACCTTGTGTATTGATTGTGGATCTAAGTAAAAGGAAATCCTTGACAACTTAAAACTTTCCTTTGCTTATAATTTTATTTATTGGTCCACTTGTGAGGATTTTTGTCTTCTTTATGCGGGGGTATAATCCATACTGACTTTCAGTAAATGCTTCAATTCTTCACTTTCAGCAAGCAAGGTAGTATTATCTGCACATGATAGTAAGTCTTCCACCAATCATGATGCCACATATATTTCTTCATGTATTCCAGCTTCTTTGATTATTTTCCTAGCAAGTATCTTGAATTAAATTGGTGGGAGAAAGCAACTTTGAGGCACACCTTTTTTTATGTTAAACCCTGCAGTATCCCCTTGTTCTCTCTGAGGAGCAACTACTACTTGTTCTACATACTGGTTCTATATGACCACAATTAAGTGTTCTGGTATTTTCCTCCTTCACAGTTTTATTCATAATTTGTTATGACCTACACAGTCCAATGCCTTTGCATTGTCAATAAAACCTAGGTGATCAGCTTTGTAGTATTTTCTGCTTTCACCCACCATCTATCTGATGTCAGCAACGACAGACCTCTTTCCACATCCTCTTCTGAATCCAACTTGAATTTCTGGCAATTCGCTGTTCATGTACTGCTGCAATCATGTTTGAATAACCTGAAAATTTACTTGTATGTGACATTAGTGATATTCTTTGATAACTTACTCATTGTGTTGGCTAATCTTTCTTAGGAATAGGCACAGATAAGGATCTCTCTGTCAGTTGGCCAGTTAGCTATCTTCCAAATTACGTTGCATAAGATGATGAGCATTCCATCTATTTTCAAGACATTTTAAGGGTTCTCCATTTCTGGCTATATAATTTTTTCAATGTCTCCTGTGCAGCTTGGACTTCCTCCTTCAATACCATTAGTTCTTAATCATACACATCTCATTAAAATGGTTAGAATTATTCTTTTTTGATACAATAACTCTGTGCTTTCTATCTTCCACTGATGCTTCCTATGCTATTCAATATTTTGGTCGTAGAATTCCTCAATATTTTTACTAAAAGCTTGAGGTTTTTCTTCAGATCTTTCAGCTTGAGAAATTTTGATCCTGATCTTCCCTTTTGGCTTCCTCCCTCCAAAGTTTGCACATCACAGTCCTTTACTTCGCTTTTCTCATGCTGCCCTTTGAAACTTTTTCTTCAGTTCTTTTCTTCAATTTACCTCAGCTACTCTACATTCAAGACCAAATTTAAAGTCTATTTTGACATCCATGTTAGTATTTTTTTTTCCTTTTAATGACCTTTTATTTCCCTCATATAAGATGTCTTTGATGTTATTATCCTACAACCTGTCTGGTCTTCAGTCATTATTGTTCATTACATCAATTCTGTCTTTAGATAGTATCGAAATTTAGGTAGGCTACTTAAGTAGTTTCACTGCCAATTGAAAGGCAGGGTTTTTTAATCCACCAGCTGTTCTGAAGAAGAAAGAAGGGCTATTATCTCCTGTGCCATTTATAACCACAGAAAACCTGTTGGAAAGTAAGATATGAATTTGTTCCAAATTGAGGGCAGATACCAACAAGAATACTTAAGCAGTTGCATTTAATTAAATCAGTTGATTTTGAGTACAGGAGATATTCTTCCATAATGTAATATAATAAAATCATCTGATAACTTTGGTAATGTCATCACACCACCCTCCAAAGTGTGTTGATTATATAATCAACCAACTGGCCTGATCAATCTACTGACCTGGGCTTTAATCTCTAATTAAATTAGATTACTAGTATAAAGTACAGAACAGGGTTCAGATCTTTTGTGCATAGGGTCACTATAAGTTGTACTCAACTCAACAGCATTTAACAACAAGTATAAGTGGATCCTAAAATTTATCATGTCTGAGATATGAAAAAGCAGAATAAACACACACACAGACAGGGGAAGACAGACGTCTTGCAAACCAAGAAATGCCAAGAAACTAAGGATCACACAGGGTTCTCAACAGTGAAGGATGAGACATGGTCAAGAACCTGATTTGAACTTTTAGCCTCTAAAATTATGAGAAAATAAATGTTGTTTTCTAAAGTCATCCACTTATGGGTGAAATCTGTATAGGTGACTTGAGACATTACTCTTACCATCCTTCCATTCTCGGGTGGCTGGGTTGATGATGCCAAACAGCTCATCATTTGTAACGACTTTGGGGTTAAGGTCTGTCAAGACGGGTCGGCGTTTCATGATCTGATATGTTTTGTGCAAGGATCTCAGCACCTGAGACTTGCCAGTACCAGCGCCGCCTACCACAAACACAGAGTGTCGCACAGCCAGCAACTCCTCCAGCTGCACCACCTGCAAGACAAGAGGACAGCCAAGCATAAACTCCACTAATTCTATTGTGCCAATTGACCAAGATGCCCACTAGGGTCCTGATTCTTCAAATCCAGAGAACCAGTCCCATGGTGGGTTTTGTTATACCTAAGAAATCTCTGTAACTGTGTCCCCTATGTGCTTTATTGATGTTGTTGATTGCTGTTGAGTTGAGCACGACTCATAGCCAACACTATGAACAAGAGACCTGAAGCCTTTCTATAACTATCATCGTTTCTAGATTTCATGGAGTTTCTACAGGCATGTAGTTTAGGAAGTGGATGTTTCTCAAAGTTCATAGAGTTTTCAGAGGAATATGATGATGCCACTCCTGCCTCCTTTACTTTATTAGAATATATAAAAGTGTGTGTGTGTGTTCAGACATATATATGCATATACTTATTATGCATACACTGATACACTTACTTATTGAATACTTTATTATTCCACATTTCACATTTATGTCAAGAGCAAAAATTCTCTGATTCAACTATTTTGTCACATTAATGACGTTTGTCTGGCAGCAAACTTTGAGGTAAGGAGTGCTGAGTGCAAAGTGAGAGTAACACTTGTTATCATGGTTAAGGTTATGTGTCAGCTTGGCTACGCCATGCTTACCAGTGCTTCAGCAATTAGTAGTGACATAAATTGGCAGTTACGTGATGATATAATTTTGATGTTATATAATGGTGTAGTCACCTTCATTTTGTGAGATGATCTTCTATTTCCACAAAATACTGATTTTCATGTACTTTCCTGGTCTTTAGAGCTTAAACATTCCATTAAGAGAGGAGTACAAGTAATTTCACTGTGTGCATAGTCTAATAATATTGTTTCCCTTTGTTAAGTTGGGTATACTTTACCTTCATTCAGTGTTACCATTCTTGTCATAAAAAGTAACAAATGCCTATCATATGCAAGCAAAATATTGCTGAAGACCATTCAAAATAGCTAGAAAAATACATTGATGGAGAACTACACTTCAGGTTCAGACTGAGCGTTGAAGAGGCCATGACACTGGGGATGTCACTGCTGATGTCAAATGGATCTTAGCAGAAAACAGAAAAAAGCATAAGAAAGTCTATTTGTGTTTTGGTGACTATATGAAGGCATTTGACTGTGTTGATCATAATAAACCATAGTTAATATTGAGAAGAATGTGAGTCCCAGAATGTTTAATAATGCTAATAAAAAACTTATTCCTAGATCAAGATATTGTTGTCTAAACAGAGCAGGGGAATAGTGCATGATTTAAAATCAATAAAGAAGTGTGCCCGGGCTGTATCCCTTCTCCATTCCTATACAATTTGTATGCTGAGCAAATTATTCGAGAAGATGGACTCTCTGAAGAAGAATGTGACATCAGGATAGAAGAAAGACTCATCAACAATTTCCATTATGCAGATGCAGATGACACAGCCTTGTTTACCGAAAGTGAAAAGGACTTGCAATGCTTGCTGCAGAAGGTCAAAGATTGTATTCAGCCTTCAATACTAAGTACACCCCTGCATCAAGAAAACAAAAATCCTCACTGGGCTGACAAAGCAACATCTTGATAGAAGGAGAAAATATTGAATTTGGCAACAATTTCATCTTTCTGACATTCACAACCCATGTGGCACTAGCAGTTAAGAAATCAAAAGATGTATTACAATGAGAAAGGCTGTCAAGGACTTCTTCAAAGTACTGGGGAGCAATGATAACAGTTTAAGATTAAGGTATGTGTGATAAAGGTCATGGTCTTTCCAATCACTTGCTTTGCATCTGAGAGATGGACAATAAATAAGGATGACAGAAGAATCAAGGCCTTTGAGTTGTGGTGTTAGAAAGGATGCTGGATATCCCATGGACTGCCAAAAGGACAAACAGTGTTGGAGAAAGTGTGGCCTGAGTACTCGCTGGAGGCAAACATGGTGAAGCTTCCTCTCACATACCTTGGGCATGTTGGTAGGAGGGGCTATTCCTTGGAAAGAGACATCATGCTTAGAAAGATGGAGGATCAGTGAAAAAGAGGAAGATCCTCAACAAGGTGGACTGACACAGTGATGCCTACAATGGACTTGAGTATGTCAGAGATGATGAGGATGGCACAGGATAGAACAGCGTTCAGATCTGTTATTCACAGTTTATTAGTCATACTCAAGTCAAAGGGACATAGCAACAACTCTACAGTTGATGCCTTCTCTCCAATTCCTGGTAAGATCTAATAAAAACTGTTGTTGTTAGGTGCTGTTGAGTCAAATACAACTCATAGCAACCCTAATGAACAAAATATCTGAACCTTATTCTATCCTGCACCATCCTCACACTTCCTGACATATAAGAGTTGATTGCAGTAGTCACTGTATCAATATACCTAGTTGAGTCTTCCTCTCCTTTGCTGAACCTCCACCTTTCCTAGCATCATGTCCTTCTCCAAGGAATAGCTCCTCTTAGAAACATAGCCAAAGTATGTGAGGCAAAGTCTCATCATTCTTGCCTCCAAAAGAGCACTCTGGCTGCACCTTCTCCAAGACATATCTGTTCGTTCTCTTGCCCGCCCATGGGATATTCAGTGCTCTTCTACAACCCCACAGCTCAAAGGCATCAATTATTTTTCTCTTATCCTTTGTCCAGCTCTCAGATGCATAGCAAGTAATTGGAAAGACCATGGCCTGAACCACATGCACCTTAGTCCTCAAACTGACATCCTTATTCCTCAATAATTTACTTATACATTCATCGATTGTTAGGTATTTATGTTGTTTCCTTAATTTTACTATAGTGAACTGTGATACATTTCATGTTATTTTTTAAAGACCCCATGATATATATCTACAGGTGGAATTGTTGGGTCATGCAGTAGCTATGAGTTGTAATCAACTGGATAGCTCTTAACAACCACAATAACATGTTAGCTCTACCTGCAGTATTTTGTGTAACTGTCTGATTATTTTCCCTAAAGCAGCTATACCATTTTGTATACCTACTAGCAGTGGATGAGGGTTTATGTTTCTCCACATCATTATTTTTAGGGCTATTTTTTAAGTGAGATTAAAATGGTATTTTATTGTGGTTTTTATTTGCACTTCTCTGATGGTTAATAACATATTTTGTCTGCCGGTCATTTGAATACTCTTTTTGGTGACATACCTGTTTATGTCCTTTGACTACTTTTTGGTTGGACTGTTTACCCTTCTTTGTTAAATTGTACAAGTTTTCTATATATTTTAGATACTAGATCCTTCTCAGTTTTGTAATTTCCAAACAAATTTTACAATCTGTTGGTTGTCTATTTACCCTTTTGATAAAGTCTGCTGATAAATACAAACATTATAAGCTCTCAGTTATCTTTTTTTTCTGTTGCTTGTACATGAATTCTTGTCTTTGATAATCTATCACTAAAGAAAATTCTGCCTCAAAACTTTTATATTTTCTTCCATTAACTTAATGGTTTAGATTTAACATTTACGATCAATTTTTAATTACGGTGTAAGGATTGAGTTTTATGGTATTTTTCTGTCCATGGAAATCCAGTTTATCCAGCACAATTTATTCAAGAGGTTGTTTCTTCTCCATTGATTGCATTTAGCTCCCTTGTCTAAAATAAAATATCCTGAGATGTTTGAGTTTATTTCTGAATTTTCAACTTTATTCCATTTGTCTATGTGTTTCTCATTGAAAGAATATCAAGCTACTTGGATTACTGTACTTGAGTTATATGTCTGAAGTCAGGAAGTGAAACGCTTCCTACTTTGTTCTGTAACATTTCTTTGGCTATTAATAATCTCTTGTCTTTCCATATAAAATGAAAGGTTCATTTTTCTATTCCTGTAAAGTAAGTGGTTGGGATTTTGGATGGGATTTTGCATATATGTATATCATTTTAAGTAGTTAATAGATTTAATTATGTTGTGGCTGTTACGTGCTGTCGAGTCGCTTGCGACTCATAGCGACCCTATGTACAACAGCCCTAAACTCCACTCTGTCCTGTGCCAATCGCATTGTCTCTGACAGTGTCCCATCCCGATTATCCCAGTCACTGAATCAATCCACCTCATAGAGGCCTTCCCCTCCTGCGCCATCCCTCCACCCTCCCAAGCATGATGTCCTTCTCCAAGGACCGGTTTCTCCTCACAACATGTCCAAAGTAAGTTAGACGGAGCCTCAGAATCCTTGCCTCCAAGGAGCCACCCAGTTTAACCTTTTCCAGGACGAATCTGTTTGTTTTCCTAGCAGTCCATGGTATTCTCAATACTCTTTTCCAGCACCATAAGTCAAAGGCCTCAATTCTCCTTCTATCCTCTTTGGTCATTGTCCAACTCTCTGATGCATAACAAGTGATTGTGAAGACTATGGCCTGTATCAAATGCACCTTAGTCTCTATAGAGACGCCATTGCTCCTCAGTACTTTGGAGAGGTTCCCTAACAGCAGACTTTCCCATGGCAATGCGCCTTTTAATTTCCTGGCTACTGGTGCCAAGAGTGTTGACTGTGGAGCCAAGCAAACTAAAGCTGTGTACAATCTCAATCTCTTCACCATCCATCCTGATGCTGCCAATTGGTCCAGTAGTGAGAATCTTTGTCGTCTTGACATTGAGCCTCAATCCATATTGGAGGTTGCAGTCCTTGACCCTCTGTAGCAGGTGCTTCAGGTCCTCTTTAGTTTCAGCAAGCAGGGTTGTGTCATCTGCGTAACACAGATTTAATTATATCCTTCCAAAATATGTAGCATAGATCCTAAGCTCTATGCCTATGAATATAAGTCCATTTGGGAATTGATTGTCTTGGCTATGTTAATGAGAAAGGGTATGAATAAGGCACATTTTGAGTCAATCTCTCAGAAAATATAAAAGGAGCAAATGAGGGAGGTAGAGATGGAAGAAAGTAGATATCATATGTGAAACAAGGAGATACTGACGAGAGACATGCACTGTCTTCCCGAACCACAGAGTGAGAAAGCTTTCCCCTAGAGAGCCAGTCATTTGAATCTAGACTTCTAGCTTTCTAAATATGGGTAACTAAATTTCTCATTGCTAAAATTATCTATTTGTGGTTTTCCTGTTACGGCTCTGGTTTTGGGTCTTGATAAAGTCAGCTCTGATTCATAGCTACCCTGTGCAACAGAATGAAATTGCCTCATATGGTGCTGTCATTATCATTTCCATTGTGCGTAAGCCCACTGTTTGAGCCTCTGTGTCAGTGTATCTCCTTGAAGGCCTTCCTGGGGTTTGCGGACTCTCTATTTTACCCAGCATGCCTTTCTCCAGGGACTGGACCCTCTGATAACCTGCCCAAAGGAGACAAAGTCTCCCTATCCTTGCTTCCAAAGAGTATTCTTCTTGCATTGGTTCTAATACAGATTGACTTGCTTCTTTGGCAGTCCATGGTATATTAATATTCTGCCAATATAATAATTTAAAGGCATCACTTTTGTTCCTGTCTTTCTTATTTCTTGTTCAAGTTTCACATGCATGCATTTGAGGTTATTGAAAATATCCTGGCTTGGGTCAGATGGTGCTTGGCTCTCAAAGTGAGCTGTTTGGTTTCAGACACTTTAAAGAGGTCCTTGGCAGATGATTTCATCAGTGGATCATGTTGTTTGTTTTTCTAACTGCAGTTTACATGAGTATTTATTGTGGATCCAAGTCAAATGAAATCCTTGAAAACTTAGATATATGGCACAGGATCAAGTAACATTTTATTCTTTTGAACATGGGATCTCCATAATTTTTAATTTACTGAATGGCAACTAACATGTATAAAAGATATTTGCACATACACATTTAAAGCAAGTAGTTTGGTTAAGGATGAAGAATTAAATACCGTCTTACAAAATAATGAAAAGACAATCTTTGGAGCATGTCTTTGTTATCTAGTCCTGCTACAACAGAGAAATCCCAAGTGAATGACTTGTAAAAACAAACTCTTTTACAGATTAGGAGGATGTTATTGTTGTTGTTGCTATGTGCCATCGAGTCACCTGCAACTCATAGCGATCCTATGTACAGCCCTAAACCCTGCTCTATCCTGTGCCAATTTTATTGTCACTGATACACCTACCCACATTACCCCAGCCATTGAAACAATCCATCTCATAGAGGTCTTCCTCTCCTGTGCTGTCCCTCCACCCTCCCAAGCATGACGTCCCACTCCAAGGAATGATTCTGCCTTGCAACATGTCCAAAATATGTCAGACAGAGCTTTAGAATCTTTGCCTCCAAGGAGCAGCCTGGCTTCACCTTCTCCAGGACAAACTTGTTTGTTTTCCTAGCAGTCCATGGTATATTCGGTACTCTTCTCCAACACCACAGATGAAAGGCATCGATTTTCCTTCTACCATACCTAATCATTGTCCAGTTTTCTGATGCATAGCAAATAAATGCAAAGAACATGGCCTGTATCAGGCGCACCTTAGTCTCCAGAATGACACCATTGCTCTTCAGTACTTTGGAGAGGTCTCTGAGAGCAGACTTTCCCAGTGAAACTCATCTTTTCATTTTCTGGCTGCTGGTACGAACAGTGTTGATTGTAGAGCCAAGAAAATTGAAGCTGTCAACAATATCAATCTCTTCACCATCTATCATGATGCTGCCAATCAGTCCAATGGTGAGAATCTTTGATTTCTTGATGTTGACCTTCAGTCCATATTGAAGGCTGTGGTCTTTCGTTCTCTGCAGGAAGTGCTTCAGGTCCTCCTCAGTTTCAGCAAGCAGGGTTGTGTCATCTGCATAACGCAGATTGTTCATGAGTTTCCAATCCTGATACCACATTTCTCTTCATAGAGCCCAGCCTTCTGAATAATCTGTTTTGCATATAGATTGAAAACATATGGAGATAGGACACATCCTTGGCATACATCCTTCCCAACTTTGAACCATGCAGTGTTTCATTGCCCTGTGTTGACAACTGCCTCCTGGTCCAAGTATAGGTTTCACAATAGCAAAATCAAGTGTTCTGGCACTCCCATTCTTCTCAGAGTCAGCCACAGTTTGTTGTGTTCCACACAGTCAAATGACTTTGCATAGTCAATGACACAGATAGATATTCCTCTGGTACTCTCTGCTTTCAGCCAAGATTCATCTGACATTAGCTATAATATCCCTAGTGCCATGGCCTCTTCTAGGCAGTTCTCTGTTTATGTGCTGTTCCAGTCATTTTTGGATAATTTTAAGCAGAATCTTGCTTGCATGTGGTATTAACGATACTGTTCAATAATTTCCACAGGAGTTCAAATTCAAGATGCTGGTTCTAGGGGAAGGCATTTTTCTCTGTGTATACTCTGGAGGAAAGGCTTAGTTTCCTTCAATCTGCAGGCCCATCAATCCTTGAAGATGTCCAAACACACTGGCCTTGTCCTGTGGAGAGAAGTTTTCCAGTTCAGGGACTTGAGAGCAGAAAGACACACACTCCACTTCTGGAGATTTTTTCTTTGTGGGATTATGATTCCATCTCTTCCCATTTCTGTCTCCTTTTCTTCCTCTGAACACAAAATGTGATATATTCCACACCCCAAAGAAATATCCCTTACATCATTTCAGGGCTGCAGACTAGTGGTATTACACTTTACCCTTAACCGTCATACAACTGCTTGGCTTATCAGATAATACATGCTTATTGTAAAACTCCCACATTACTTAATTACTGACACAGGGGTTTGGTGTTTTTGGTGTCTTTTTTTTTTTTATTTTGTTTGCTTGTTTTTTTGAGGAAGAGGCATTTTTCAGTCCATGACAGACAGAAACCCTTACATACCTTTAGCACAAAGTTGTCTTCCGCTTGTAGTTTCAGATCCACAACTGCCTTCCTAACCAAAGCTTCAAAGTTGAGGTCTCTCCTCCTGGGGACATCCAGGGCAGGAAAGAGGTCCCCAATAAGGCCCAGAAACACTGGCATGTCATCAGTCACAATCTTGGGGATGTTAAAGTCTCTTAAGGAACGCATCAGGACTTGATCCTCTGGCCGGTCGGGGTCTCCTCGTTTCAGCGAGCCTGCCACCACAAGCACAGACTTGATGGCCCGCAGGCCCCAGTCATAATGGTCCTGTGGGAAGACACTGCAGGTCAGAGAAAACCCTAAAACTTCCAGGATGCAGAAAACCTCATCCTCAGGTTGCTGTCTACACAATAGATATCATTTAGTGCCTTAACCCTTTAGTATCCTAAAACATTTTAGGGTGCTGCTGAGTTCCAGGCAGAGACATGGGAAAGGATTCATTACTTGAAAGGTTATGATCACAGGAACCTTAAGTCTTGACCGGTAGAGGTTACTGAGACAGCAATCAATTCCACACCTCTCTGGACTCCTCGTATATTCAGAGGTCGTCAGGGTTATCAAGGAGGGTATCATGTTAGTTTTTAGAGAGTGTGGTGGCTGAGGTGATATGTTGTTGCTGTTGTGTGCCATTGAGTCAGAACTGACCCATAGCTGACCCCCCAGCAGGTTTTCAGCAGCAGTAAATGGCATAGAAGGAGAATGCCCATTTTCTCTCCTGAGGAGAAGCTGGTTGAATCAAACCATATACCTTCGTGTTGGCAGCATAATTCCTTACCACTAAGCCACCAGAGCTCCTTGAGGTGATATGGAGCCCTTTAAACATCTAAGACAGAGAGAAAGAAAAAAAAATCCAAAAATAATAACTGCACTGCCACCAAGTCAGTTCCAAGACAACTCCTCTGTCAGGTGTCTGAAGCTGTAAATCATAATGGACAGAGAGTGCCCATCTTTCTCCAAAGGAGCCACTGGCAGATTTGACCTGCTCGAGACACACAGCCTTTGGTTTAGCAGAGTAACTCGCTACAGACTATACACCCAGACTCCCCTGAGGATAAGAGTATTAAAAAATCATGAACTCATTTCTGTCTAGACAGAACCAACTCATAGCTGACCCTCCAGTGAGTTATCAGAAGTTGTAAAGTATACAGAAAGAGATTTCTCACGCTTCTTCCCCTCAGGCTGCTGGTGGATTTGAACCACAGAGAGGCGCCCCCAACAACTAGAGGTGTAACTCCCAACAGACTATGCCTCCCAGAGCTCCCAACAACAACAACAATATTCATAATGATAATACAATAATAATAATAATTCATTGTGAGATTTTCGTCAAAGCCAAAGATCACCAGGGCTGGCAGGTAAGAAGGGGCCACAGTGCAGACTCCAGGCCCCAGAGCAGCATGGAGGAGACAGGAGGTACAGTGAGCAGTTCAGAGGAGAGATCTCAGTTCATTCAAACTCAGGCTGAAATTCCAGCTCTGCCACTTGCTTTACAACAGACCATTATTTCATTAAAACTGAGATAATACTACAAGGGAAAGATTCAGTGTGCACGGAAAACAAAGGACATGGCAGCTCTACCTGGAACTCAGACGTTTCTAGAAAAGTGATATGTAAAGAAAACCTGAAGGAGTAGAAGTCAGTGAAGCATAGATGAGAAAGAAGTGCAGTCAGGGAAGCAACTTTGTCAAGACTGGAGAAAAAGCTGGCTCAGCAACGGGCAGAGGCAATCAATTTTAAAGCATTCAAAGAAGACCAGCATAGGTGGAGCACGGCACAGCAGGGAGAGCCATCTGCTAAGGCTGTTGAAGAGGGCAGGGGCAGAGCAACATTTTTCAGAGAGCTATCATCCTAAGGTCAGTAAGGAACGTTTGAAAATAATCACTCCAGTTAGTGGGCAAAGAACAGACTTTAGCAGGGGAGGTAACTAGCAGGAAGGGAGTTGCAGTGGTAAAACAAGAGATACTGGTGCATGGAACGAAAATGTTGACAGAAGTTATGGTGGTTGGAGGGGGAAGGGATGAGATTTAGCTGAGAAATATAGAGAGGGCAGAATCAGAAACAGTACATGGTTGGACGTGGCTTTAAGGAAGCAATGAGGGTCGAGGCTCCAGAATTAGCAAATGACTGAGCTATATTCACTGAAGAAAGAGCACAGGGGACACAGGCTTGGAGTTGACATGAAAGTTCAGCTTTAGATGAGGACTGGGGATGTTGTTAAAACACTTAAGGGAGAGGTATAGTATAAACAATTAAATCGTTGTGCCTATAGCTCAAATGAGATATTGGGGCTAGATCTATAATTGTGGGAATCTCAAAAAGAGATGGTGATAGAGAACCTAGAGAGAGGATATAATGAGAAAGGGAAGTGGGCTGGGAATAGAAAGAAAACCAGGTACGTTTTGTGACAGACTTTACAGGGCTCACACATGTAGGATCATGTTACGACAACAAAGGCTACTGAAACAATAGAACCTCAAAATCAAGGCAAAACTTATTGGGAATCATCGAAGGAAGCTTGTTCAGTTTTCATTTCCACCAAGAAAGTCTCCCCCCAAGGCATAAACCTAAAGGTACTTTGTTATGTTATACTGAGGTGCTATTTCTGTATTGGGGTGGAGAAGAGAATGAAGTTGTCAACAATTCCGTTCTACTTGGATCTTTGATCAACTTTCACGAAGGCAACAGGGAAGGAACTGAATGGCCTACTGCACTGGACAAAGCTGCTGCAGAGAAATGTCTTTTTCTAAAGTTCTAAAAACAAAGACATCACTTTGATGGCTAAAGGACATTGACCCACGTCATAGTCATTTCAGCTACCTCATGTGCAAAGGAAAGTTGGATAATTAAAAAAGGAAGACAGAAGACTTGATGCACTGGAACTGTGGTATTGGTGAAGAATATGAAATATATCATATAACTGCTAAACTAAAGGACAAATAAGGCTTAAAAGAAATGCAGCGTCTTAGAAGAAATACAGTGTTCTTCAGAAGCCATCAGAGTAAGACTTCGCTTTGATTACATTGGACACATCATTAGGAAAGCCTAATCATTAGACAAGGACATCATAAAGTTTGATAAAGTCATAAAAAAGGAATATCCTCATTAGACTGATATAGAAGCCACAACAATGGGTTCAAACACCAATTCTCATGGAAAGGACTGGATAACATCTTGCTTTGCTGTAAATAACAGCATGAACAGGAGCTAATCCCATGGCAACTAACCGCCACCTTCTGTAATAGGACTCTTCCCTTTGTGCATGTAGCAAAGACAAGAGCGAGAGCTGGAACAACACTAATTTGGTCTCTCACAGCTCATTGCTATCGAGCTGTAACTGACTCATACCTGATCCTCCAGCTGTTTCTGAGGCTGTAAACCATATAGGAAGAGAGCCCATCTTTCCCCACAAGCAGCCTTGGTGGAATCAAACTGCCTGAGAGACTCAGCCTTTGGGTTAACAGCTGAACTCCCTACAGGGTGGTGGCATATGAGAGCTCACCAAGAGTTAGTCTAGTAAATGCTAAGACTCCTTTTCCAGATCCCACTCCTTCCCTTCTCATGTTCCTGCAGGTACATCCCATTCCCTCCAAGGGCTTTTGCTGACCATTGTGATATCTCTCCCGGGGTACAGGTGATCTGAGAGCTTTTGCTAAGCATTCTATTAAAAAAGGAGTCCTATGGTTGAGTGAGCCCTATAAAAGAAGTCCTAGAGGGAGCTTGAGTGGCCTAGTAACAAGAAGCCGTGCTGTGAACCCAAATGCATACAGTTCAAATCCACCAGCTGCTCCGTGGGAGAAGGATGGGCAATCTTCTCCTGTGTGATTAACTGCCTTTGAAAATCCACCAGAGGGTCAGCTATGGGTTGGTTCCAACTTGATGGCACACAACAACATGGCTGAGTGAGGTTGAAAATGAGAGGCTAACCAAGTGAAGATGCACCTTTATTGTAGAACACTTTGAAACAGGGAACCTTTATGAGAAAGCTTGGTTACATCGGCCACAGAACACCTCTAGAACAGAGCTGTCACATGTGGCCAAATCACTGTGTCTTCCAGTGAGCATACCTGTTTGGAGAGAAGCTCTTTGCACAACTGGTAAAGGGTGATGAATTTTCTGGCTAATAAACGGGCTTCGATGAAGCCTTCAGCCACCAGCATGATTTCACAGATCAACTCGAAGTCTGGAACAACCATCGCACAAGGCCTGTGTACAGGGAGGCAGAACATTGAGATTGTCTCATCAATCATAGAGAAGAGGGTGGTCGTTGTTGTTATGAGCTGTCGAGTTGCCTGCAACTCATAGCGATTCTATGTACAACAGAACTAACCTCTGCTCTATTCTGTGCCAATCTCACTGTCTCTGACACACCCACCCTGATTACCCCAGTCACTGAATCAATCCACCTTATTGAGGGTTTTCCCCTCCTGCACTGTCCTTCCACCCTCCCAAACATGATGTCCCTCTCCGAAGACTGGTCCCTCCTTGCAACATGTCCAAAGGATGGCAGACGAAGCCCCAGAATCCTTGCCTCCAAGGAGCAGCCTGGTTTAGCCCTCTCTAGGGTGAACTCATTTTCTTAGCAGTCCATGGTACATTTAATACTCTTCTCCAGCACCACAGCTCAAAGGCATCAATTCTCCTTATATCCTCCCTAGTCACTGTCCAACTGACACATAACAACTGATATAGCAAAAAATAAGGCCCCACAAATAGATGGTATACCAATTGATGTATTTCAACTAACAGATGCAGTCCTGGATGTGCTCACCAAGTTGTGCCAAGAAATCTGGAGAACAACCACTTGGCCAACTGACTGGAAGAGATATATATTTGTTTCTATTCCAAAGAAGGGTGACCCAACAGAGTGTGAAAACTATAGAACAATCTCTTTGATTTCACATGCAAGCAAGATTCTACTGAAGATTATCCAAAAACGACTGGAATAGCACATCAGCAGAGAACTGCCAGAAGTCCAGGCTGGGTTTAGAAGGGGTCGTGGTACTAGGGATATTGTAGCTAATGTTAGATAGAGAAGAGGGAGAGATTATAAAACAAGGAAAAAACTGGCTTAGTAAGTGCAAGAGTCATGGAAAGACCTTAACAGTTATGTTGCCCAGGAACTTGAGTTTGCAAATAATTTTATTAAGGATGAAGGAAATGAACTGTCCTGCCTAAGATGATAAACGAAATTAGCAGATAGAGGCAGAGTTGGGACTACAACATGTCTTAAAACTTGAGAATCCAATGTGGCTGGCATAAAGTAAAAAAGATTGGAATATGCTGTCTAGGACAGTTGGACAACTTGGGGCTGAGGAGGAGGAACCAAGTCACTCAGTTTTCTTTAGGAAACTGAGAATCTCTTTATTTTCCTCTTGCCACCCTCGGGAAAGGAGTCCCCTCCAAGCCTAGACGTTGCTGCTCTTCTGCCACTTGATATATATCTGTGCTCACACGTAAATGTCTAATGCTGAGGTCTAAACACAGAGAACTTACTGAGCATACCTTAAACTGAAAGTGCCTATTAGGGGAAACCAGAATGCTTTCCATAAATACAGAACATTATAAATACATCTCTCTTCACAATGCTTTAGCTCTAGGCACATATGACTGCAAAGTTTATTCACTTTTATTAAGTCATTAGGCATGTAATAGGAGCCTAGAACTGTCCCATTTGCATGTCCCTGCACTGATGTACATGTAGTCCACAGGGCATTGCACTGCCAACTGTCCAGCCTCTCTGATGGTTTGAATCCAACAGCAGCTCCAGAGGAGAAAGATGTGAGATTTACAGTCTTGGAAATCCAATTGGAGGGTCAGTTATGTGTTGATTCTGACATGAGGGCAATATGAGTTTGAGACACTGATACACAATTTCACCCAAGTATTATTTCCTTTATATTCTTTTCAAACTCAACTCATTGCCCTCAAGTCAGAACCTGCCCATAGCTGAACCTCCACCGGGTTTACCATGACTGTAAATTCACATGAAAGAAAAATTGCCTGGCCATCTCCAGCAGAGCTACTGGTGGATTCAAACTGCCAGAGAGGCACTGTCTTTGGGACAGCTGCACAACTCTCTAGGGGTTGCACCCCTGTTGTTGTTATATGCTGTTGAGAAGCTTGCGATTCAGAGCGGCCCTATGTACAAGAGCCCTAAACTCTGCTCTATCCTGTCCCAACCTCATTGTCTCTAACACACCTACTCCCAGTACCCCAGTCACTGAGTCAATTCATCTCATCGAGGGTCTTCCTCTCCTGCGCTGTCCCTCCACTCTCCCAAGCACCACAAGGACTGGTCCCTCCTTGCAACATACGCAAAGTATGTCAGAAGGAGCTTCAGAATCCTTGCCTCCAAGGAGCACCCTGATTTCAACATCCCCAGGGAAAACCTGATTTTTTCTCTGAGCAGTCCATCGTATATTTAATACTATTCTCCAGCACCACAGCTCAAAGGCATTAATTGCCCCCTAAATTCTTTCACAGTGTATAAAAGTTCAGAGGATGAACCAAATACATTTTCAATATTATTTTTAAATCTGAAAATAAGGTTAAATGTGTAGTCAAACAAAGGAATGTAATGCTGTCACACACACACACACACACACACACACACACACTCACTTGCTGTACAACATGATGAACATAGTTAAGTTCGCTGAGTTAGAGGTGAAAAAAATATTAAAATATCTGAATGTTTTGTTATGTAGGTACTTAAAGATATTTCTGTGGACAAAAAACTAATGACATGGGGAAACACTAATGAATAAAAATAAGGTTCTAAACTGTGCGTAGCCTGATCTAAATTTTGGAAATAAAAATAATTATTCAGCAGGAGTGGCATCCACTTCCGAAATAGCTTGCCTCCAGAAACTCTATGAATGTGGAGAAACGATGAAGGTTATACAAGTGTTCAGGTCTTTCATTCATAGGGTTGCTATGAGTTGTCTACAACTTGACAGCACCTAACAACAACAACATTCCTACACTAAAGAGAGTGCTTCCTGCTTGGTGGTAAGGAGTTGCACTGCATGTGGCTTGAATCCACCAGCTGCTCCATGGGAGAAGGACAGAACTCTCTTACGCTATTTGCTTCCTCTGGAAACCCGTGGGAGGGATCTGCTATAAGTTAGTTCCAACCTGATGGTACACAACAACAACCACTTCGGGGGTGGGGGGGGGGAAGAATGTGATTAATTAGCTCTGGACACAATTGGATAATTGGACTGCGGGTGGGTGGCGGCAAAGCCTCTGGAATCAGACTGCCAGGGTTCAAATCCCAGTTCAATGCTTACCTAAGATAAGCAATTGTCTGAATCCCCACTTCCTGTCTTTACATTGGGGATATTAGTGGTAATCGTCACCTAATAGAGGTTTTGTGGGCATGAAATGCAAAAGTATGGCAATATGGGTTGTTTCTGAAAATGCTTCTCTCGTTTTTCCCCAAAAAATAAATGAATACACATAAAAAAATAATTCTTACCACTGACATCAGGGTCAGGGTGAGACTGAGAAAAATTGGATAAATTATGTATACTGCATTGAAACAGATGAGGGAGAGAACTGTTTAAAAATGATATATGATTAGGTATTATGGTTATGACAAGAGACCAGAATGAAGGTTGCATAGTGGAGGGTGGGAGGGGAGATTGTATACCAATGAAGGAATTGTTCTTTTACTTTTCAAAAAGAAGAGTGAACTGGGGGGAGGGGAGGGCAGGGAGAAAAAGGCAACAATGAATGAATGGAAATCTAAAATCTTTGTAAACATTCATTAAAATTAATAAAATAAAATTAAAAAAAGAAAAAAATTTATTCTTATCAAGGTGATAATGCACCTCCTTTATTGGTGGTGACACAACTCTCATTTAATAAACAAGCTCAATGGGTAAACAAACATCACACAGTAATCTGTGGCCCCTGTTTAGGCAGTGAGTTTGCCTTTCCAACAAGTGCTGGGTTCACAGGGGATCTGGTAAAATTAAGATGTGCTGCCAGCCCATCTGTGTCATGGGATTAGTCACCAGTGGGGCAGTTTAAAATAGAGAAAGGAAAGCACTCAAGTAGTTGCCCAGTAGCATCCTCATCCTCTGAGAGGCCATTAAAGTATTGACCCTGCATCCTAGACAGAGAGCACTGGACTCCTGTGTTCAAAAACAAGACCAAGCACTTTATCCCTGCACCCCACTGCCTTCCTCAGGGACAGACCAGTGGGTGGCAATTCAGAAGCCTCAGGCTTCTTCCAATTTTCTCTTTGCGGGATTTCCTTCTCTTTCCTGAAAGCAGAAACCAGGCTTCATCTCGTGCTGAAAAACTCATTTGTGTTTCCTTATCAAAATAAAGAAGACTTAACAACATGGCAATATCCACCGGTGGCAGGGGTGAAATAAAAGACGAGCTCCCGTGCATTGCTGGTAAGAGTGTAATTCGGTACCACTCTGTTTAGAAAGCAATTTGGCAATGTGTATTGAGAGCCTTAAAAATGTTCCTACCGGTTAATTCCGTAATTCCACTTCTGGGAATCTAGCCAAAGAAAATAACCATGCATACGGGGGTGGGGGGTTGCGATTTATACAACGATGTACATTATAGCATTTCACATAAACATTTTTAAATGTTAGGAACAGTCTTAACATGTAACTACAGGGGACTACTTAATTACACTTTCGGCCATGTACTTGGTAGAATAATATACAGTCATAAGGCAAGACTTCTTAAGATTATATAATACAGATAATATTTATGACATTTTAGTGATACATCACAAAATTTATTTTAAAAGGCAAAAGTGTATGTAGACTACAAACATACAAACTTAAAATAGATACCTAAAGACTAGAACAAAACAAAGCAAATATAATATTACTGTCACAGCATTAAAAGTCTAGAAAAAAGACCAGGTTTACTGGTCCAATAGAAGTTGGTGGACCTATAAAGAGGTTTTCTGAAATTTCTAGTATTATCTCTTTGACTTTGGAACCAAAACACTCCCATGGCTCAACAAGGTGACTGGTGATACCAGGAAGGCACTCACTCCACAGACTAACCAATCATACAAGGTCAAAAGAGTAGCATTTGCTCAGGCATGAAGCCAAGAAGGCAGCAAGGATGGATGGAAATGAGAATCACAAGTAGGAAGTGGGGAAAGTGTGATTATAAAGTTGGTGGTGCTAGAGAAGAGTATTGAATGTACCATGGACTGCCAAGAAAACAAACAGAGAGGGTTAAACCAGGCTGCTCCTTGGAGGCAAGGATTCTGGGGCTTCGACTGACATACTTTGGACATGTTGTAAGGAGAGACAGGTCTTTAGAGAGGGACATCATGCTGGGTAGAGTAGAGGGACAGCACAGGAGGGGAAGACCCTCTAGGTGGATTGATTCAGTGACTGGGGTAATCGGGATGGGTGTGTCAGAGGCAATGAGATTGGCATAGGATAGAGCACAGTTTAGGGCTGTTGTACGTAGGGTCACTATGAGTCGCAAACGACTCGACGGCACATAACAACAACAACAACAACATTACAATTAAAGTTATGGAACAAAATGTGCATGAGTAAATGAATGAAAAGCTACTAAACCTTGTAAGCTTTCACTCAAATAACAATTTAAAAGAACAAAGTATTCGTTTGTTTCAAAATGACTTTTCTCTGTGTTCCCACTGTCCCCAATTCCCGTGGGCCTGAAGCAGAGCAGTGCTCACCTGAACAATGCCTTGAGGTTCTCCGGCAGCTCCGTCCGGCCTGCATAGCCGGGGTTCATGGTGATGAAAATGCCCACTGAAGGATTCAGGCTGATCTCCTCCCCAAGGAAGCTGAAACGCTGCTTTTTATCTTTAACTGCATCTTGAATGCTTTTCACCTGGTGAATGTGACAGAAGCTGTGAGCCCGCGATTACCCACAACACACCTAGCTGCCTTGTGGCCCTTGACTCTGAAGAGCAGACATAGGCATCTGGTACCCCGGATCCCCACTGAAAGGTTCTGGTGTCATGTCCAGAGGGAATCCAGTCACCCACATCCCTGTTTCTAACTAAGTGGTTAAGGATGTGGGTGAACAGGAAGCAGGTGCTCAAGTCTCTGAGTGTCAAATCCTCCATAATACTCACTGATGTGTATTAGCATAGACAAGGACTTTGTCCTCCCTGGTCCTAGTCCTTAAATTGTTATACTGTTCATTCTCTGTGCATTTATTTCTGTTCTTCTCCCCTCACCAAACTGTCCTGCTCCCTGCCCCACAAACCCCTCAGTTACCCTCCTATTGTCACAGCAGGGGTCTATATGCAGTATTTGTCCTTTTGTGACTGAGTTACTTCACTAAAAAAAATTCCCTTCTCACTTGCTCATGTTATGTTGTATTTTATAAATACTTCATTGTTCTTTAGTGTCGCTAAAGTATACTAAATTTCTTTAATATTTCATTGTGTGAATTTAGCAGTTTCTCCATCCATTTGTTTGTTGATGGACATTCGGGTTGTTTCTATTTTTTTTTTTTTTTTTGCTATTGTGAATAACATTGCAATGGACATATGTGTACATATCTCTGTTTATGTCTCAGCTCTGATTTCTTTGGGGTATATTCCTACTAGTGGATTACATGAGATTTCTATGTTCACCTGTTGGAGAAAAAGCCAAACTCCCTTCATAGTGGTTAAATCACTTTACAGTCTCACCAGCTGTGCATGAGAGTTCCAAACTCTCCACAACCTCTCCAACATTTATTGCTTCTTGTCCCATTAAACATTACTATTGCTTCTGGGGTGGGATAGTATCTCACTGTTGCTTTCATTTGCATCTCTCTGACTGCTAGTTGTATTGAACATTTCCTCATGGACATTTGTTGGCCTTCTGGATATCCTCCTTTGTGAAGAGTCTTTTCATATCCTTTGTCCCTTTTTATAATTGAGTTATCAGTCTTTTTCTTGTGGAGGCCCTATTGTGGTTGTTATTGAGTATGTCTCATAGTGAACCATTGAACAACAGATCTGAAATCTGCCCTAACTTATCCATCTTATCATCATCCTTGACACATTTGTCTCCATTGCCGCAGACATGACATCAGTTTTTATCACAGAGGTCTTCCACTCCTTCGCTGATTCTCCTCCACCTTTCCATGTATGATGTCCCTTTTCAAGAAATAACCTCTCTCACCAATATGCCCCAAATATGTGAGACAAAGCGTCACTAGCAGTGCCTCTAAGCAACACTCTGGCTATACTTTCTCCATGACATAACTTTGCTCTTTTTTAGTCCATGGGATATTCATCACCCTTCTCCAAAACAACAACTCAAATGTATTGGTTCTCCTATCATCCTTACTCATTGTCCAGCTCTCAGATGCATAGCAGGTGATTGGAAAGCCTGTGATTTGAATCAGGCACACCTTAGTCTTTAAAATGACATCATTACTCTTCAAGACATTAGAGAGGTCCCTGGTAACATATTTTCCCATGTTATAGATCTCCCAGTTTCCTGAGTGCTGGTACAGAGGGTGTTGAAATCACTGACAATTTCAATTTTTTTCTCCATCCATCATGATGTTGCTTGTTGGCACATCAGAGAGGATTTTTGTTTTCTTGATGTTTAGATTAATTCATATCGAAGGCTGCCCTTGATCCTCTGCAGCAAGTGCTTCATGTCCTCATTTTCAGCAAACAAGGAGGCCCAGTATATTCTGTAAATTTTAATTACAAGATCTTGTCTAATATGTCATTGCCAAATATTATTTTACAATCTATGGTCTTTATTTTCACTGTACAGAAAAAAAAGTTTTGATGCACACATGGATTTGATTTTTAGAGGGTCCCATTCATCAACCTCTCTCTGGTTGTACATTGTAAGCTGTTTGCAGACTTATTTACGTGATAGAACTAGGGCTTCTAATTTTTCCCCCTATTTTGTCTGTGATGATCTTTGTGGTTTTTTTGCTTTACCTCTAAGTCTCTAATCCATTTTAAACTGACATTTGTGTATGGTGTGAGATGTGGATCCTGTTTCAGTATTCTGCAGGTTGATGTCCAGTTTTGCCAAAGAGATGATAGTTTCCCCATGTAATGGGTTCTATTTCCTTTTAAAATATAAATAATGGAAAATTATGAAAAGCTATACTCTGATAAACTTGAAAACCTAGAGGAAATAGACAAATCTCTAGAAATCCACATCTTATCCAAATTGACAGAGATACAAGTAGAGCATTTGAGCAGACTCATCACAAAATAATAAATTGAACAGGTTATAAAAAGACTCCCAACCAAAAAAGTTCTAGCCTAGGTGGCATCACAGGTGAATTTTAACAAACACTGAGATAAGCTATTACCAAGTCTATTAAAATTACTCCAAAATGGAGTGTGTGAGAAGGAATACTCTCAGAGTTACTCTATGAAACAAGCATAACCCTAACACCAAAACTGAAAAAAAAAAGAAAGATAGAAAAGAAGAAAAGACATCACAAAAAAATCCCCACCCACAACAAACTATAGATCACTATCTCTCATAAACATAGATGCAAAAATTCTTACAAAAATCATGCTTAATAGAATCCAACAGTATATAAGTCATCACATTAATAAAGCAAAGAATAAGAACCACATAACATTAATAATTGATGAACATAAAGACTTTGCCAAGATCCAACACTCAACAAAATAGGAATAGAGGGGAATTTCCTCAACACAGAGGGGAATTTCCTCAACACAGATTATATACGCAAAAACAAGAGTCAGAATCGTTCTTAATGGAGAGAAACTATAAACATTCTCCTTGTGAACAGGAGCCAGGCAAGGATGCCCAGTATCACCACTGCTTTTTAATACTGTATTGGAAATTCTATCTAGGACAGTAAGTCAAGAGAAGAAAATAAGAAGTATCCAAATTGGCAAAGAGAAGATAAAACCATCCCTAAATGCAGAAGATAAGATAGTGTATGCAGAAACCCTAAAGACTCAACCAAAAACTGTTAGATTTAGTAGACCACTTTAGTAAAGTGGCAGAATGCAAGATCAACATACAAAAATCTGCTGTATTTCTGTATAGCAACAAAGAAAGAACAGATAAAGGAAACAAGAAAAGCAATATCAATTACAACAGTCAACCAGAAGGTAAAATATGCAGGACTAAACCTATCTTTGGAAGGAGGAGTGGCATCCACTTCCTAAATTACATGCCTTCAGAAACTCTATGAACTTTGATAAATGTCGATAGTTGTAGAGGGGGTACAAGCCTTTTGTTCCTATATAGTGTCTCTATGAGTCACGCTCAACTCGAAGACAATCAACAACAACAAACCTATCTAGAGACATTGAAGAGCTACATAAGGAAAACTACAAAATATTGCTAAAAGAAATAAGTGGCCTAATTAAATGGGAAAATATTTCCTTTTCATAGATAGGAAGTCTCACCATTGTGAAAATAACAATCCTACCAAAAGCAATCTTATAAGTTCAGCACAATCCTAATAGAGATACAAAACTAATTTTTCAAGGAGATGCTGTTGTTCTTGTTATGTGCCGTCGAGTCGTTTCCGACTCATAGCGACCCTATGCACAACAGCCCTAAACCCTGCTCTATCCTGCGCCAACCGCACCGCCTCTGACACACCCAACCCGATTACCCCAGTCACTGAATCAATCCATCTCATAGAGGGTGTTCCCCTCCTGCGCTGTCCCTCCACCCTCCCAAGCATGATGTCCCTCTCCAAGGACCCGACCCTCCTGGCAACATGTCCAAAGTATGTCAGACGAAGCCCCAGAATCCTTGCCTCCAAGGAGTAGCTTGGTTTAATCCTCTCCAAGATGAATCTGTTTGTTTTCCTGGCAGTCCATGGTACATTCAGTACCCTTCTCCAGCACCACAGCTCAAAAGCATCCACTCTCCTTCTGTCCTCCCTAGTCATTGTCCAACTCTCTGATGCATAACAAGCGATTGCAAAGACCATGGCCTGTATCAGGTGCACCTTAGTCTCCAGAGAGACACTCTTGCTCCTGAGTACCTTTGAGAGGTCCCTAACAGCAGACTTTCCCATCGCGATACGCTTTTTGATTTCCTGACTGCTGGTACCAAGAGTGTTGACTGTGGAGCCAAGCAAACTGAAGCTGTGAACACTCTCAATCTCTTCGTCATCCATCCTGACGCTGCTAATTAGTCCAGTGGCGAGAATCTTTGTCTTCTTGACATTGAGCCTTAGTCCATACTGAATGCTGCAGTCCTTGACCCTTCGCAGCAAGTGCATGAGGTCCTCCTCAGTTTCAGCAAGCAGGGTTGTGTCATCTGCATAACGCAGATTGTTAATAGATCTTCCACCAATCCTGATGCCACAATTCTCCTCATAGAGCCCAGCTTCTCGGATAATCTGCTCTGCATACATGTTGAAAAGGTATGGAGACAGGATGCATCCCTGGCGTACACCCTTCCCAATTTTGAACCATGCAGTGTTACCCTGCTCTGTTCTGACTACTGCCTCTTGATCCAAGTACAGGTTTCGCATTAGCACAATTAAATGTTCTGGGATTCCCATTCTTCTCAGAGATTTCAAGGAGATAGAAAAGAAAATTTCAAGTTTCATTTGGAAAGGAAAGAGATCCCAAATAACCAAAGCTCTTCTGAAAAACAAAAATGAAGTAGGAGGCATCACCTTCTCTGATATAAAAACTTATTATAGTACCAAAAGCAACATGGCATTGGTACAGTGACAGACACATAGATCAATAGAACAGAATTATGAATCCAGAAAGGAACCCATAGCAATTTATAATTGACCTTAGAACTTTTTATGTACAGCCTCATTTGACTCTCACAACAATTTTTGAGGACAACACAATAAAAACAAACAAGCATACAAATAACCATGATAATATAGACAGATTG